ATTTAAATTTTTAAATGTAATTAATTTGTTGATCTTTAAATGATTATTATGACATTTTGTTAAAAAATACGATAAAAACTAAATGTGAGAGAAAAAGAAGAAAATAAAAATATTTTATTTTATCATATAAAGATAGAACTTTCCCTTCGGGAAATTAAAGACAACACGTGCAGTGAGCGTGTTGGATGAATAAAGTCAAACTTGAGAATTTTCTGATTCAAATTTAAGAAATACATTTTTTAAATAAAATATAAAAAGACCAGGAAACAATGTGAACACAACAACTGTGTAACAACTGAATTTCTTTTTCAGTTAAATTTTGAATTTTCTTTAAAATCATGCAATGAAAAATAAAGTGAAAAAAAAATCTGGATTCTGTATCAAACATAATTTAAAATACACAGTTTTCACTTTATATAGAAAGAAAAAACGTCAGAATCTGAGGAAAAAAATCTGAACTAAAGTTTACAGTGAATTCTGTAAAAAACAACCTCTGACTTTTTCATCCAAATCCCTGTGGGGTCACTGTGTTGACCTGCACTGGTTTCACTAACTAACCAACACCAGTTTAGTATTTGAATTAAAGGTTCAGATCGAATTCATCTACAAACACAAACTCTGACGTCACCCACAGGACAGGGAGAACCGACCCAGAAAACCTCTCCTGTGACCCAGGTAGGGGACACCACCCGTGTGTTTGGAACTGACTACATCAAGGTATAGACGGCAGGTGGATTTAAGTTGGACTGATATCTGAGAGGAGGAGGAGGAGGAGGAGGAGGAGAGGGTCTGAATCTGCAGTCCCTCTCCTCGACTTCATCCTCCACCATCACCCTCTGATCTGTGAGCTGGCACACATCACGGCGTCCATTCACAAATCCCCCCCCCCCCCCCCCCCTGCTGCTCCTCATGCGCGTCAGCTTTTGTAGTAGTTACTCCTATAGTAGTGACGTGGAGACAGGGCTGGAAAACAGAGCGAAAATAGGTTATAGAACTGAAGGACGGCGCACATGCGCACTGAGCAGCCAAGTTATTACACTAGTGTGTGTGTGTGTGTGTGTTACTCTCTATACAGTAGAATATGAAATAAGACACAGCCATGGAGTTACAGGCTGCACACACACAGATGCAGATATTGAAAGAACAGCAGCAGCAGCAGCAGCAGGAACAGCAGCAGTAACAGCAGCAGTAACAGTAACAGCAGCAGCAGCAGCAACAGTAACAGCAGCAGCAGCAGTAACAGTAACAGCAGCAGCAGCAGTAACAGCAGTAACAGCAGTAACAGCAGCAGTAACAGCGGCAGCAGTGACAGCAGCAGCAGCAGCAGCAGCAGCAGTGACAGCAGCAGCAGCAGCAGTAGCAGCAGCAGTAACAGCAGCAGTAACAGCGGCAGCAGTGACAGCAGCAGCAGCTCTGAATTAAAAAGCAAACAAGTGAAGATTTCTTTAACTCTTCCCTGGAAAGCAGAGGAGAAAGAGGAGACGATGCTTCTTAGAACAAACAAAGACGGATAGGAAAGGAGAGAAGGAAACGAGGAGAGAAGGAAACATGGAGAGGAGGAAACAAGGAGAGGAGGAAACGAGGAGAGGAGGAGAGGAGGAGAGGAGGTGGAAGGAGCTGACAGAGCTGACGGGCCATAATCAATATTTGCTGCTTCTCTGCACAAGAAACAGCGCAGATTCAGGAGGAAATAATAAGGACTGAAGCAGAATGTGGTTTAGATGAAGTGATGCTGATGCTCAGGCTGCTGATGCTCAGGCTGCTGATGCTCAGGCTGCTGATGCTCAGGCTGCTGATGCTAGTCTATATGTAGAACAGCGTGTAATGTCATGGCCCTGTAGAATAATTCCATCATGAAGGAGGAATGTTTTAAACAGATGACTTATTGATCGCGGGGGGGCAGTTCATTATTGAACACGTTTTTGTGTCAGAATGTAGAAAAAAAAACCGCGGCGTTTAATTTAATGTTGAAAATATAATTGAATAATTTTCCAGTCTGTCCCACGGTGAGAATTAAACCTCATGAAAGAAAATAAAATATAAATGAGATGTTTCGAAGAATATTTAACCCCTGTCCTTAAAACACGAATGAACTTTGTTTTAAATAAATACCGACGTCGTCACACAGTGTTGGTGAATCGTCGAGACTGAGACGGAAATGTCGGAACGTCACAAACATTTACAGAATAAAAACGTCGGCCGAGGACCCAATGGTTTCAGTTTCCAAACGTTTCTCTTGAAAATGTAAAAAATTAGAAAAACTAAATCCACTCCTTAATTCCCATTTTTCCTTGTGTCAGAACTAAACCTCGTGGAAACTACGAGAAAACGTCGAGGCTGATGACGGAGACACCGAGGTCAGAGCTGCGGCCTCACGTCGAGCCGCTGCCTGGAGGTTACAGGCCCCAAGCCCGGGCGGCGGCGGCGGAGGCCTGTCGGTGGGTCGGTGGTCGGTGGTCTGTCGGTGGTCGGTGGCCTGTCGGTGTCGGTAGTCGGTGTAGTTCTGACTCCCGTGGATCCAGACATTTGTGTCTTTTTGGTTCCATTTCAGAACAAAATAATAAAAATTAAAAAACAAAAGTCCCCAGTGGATCAGACCGACAGAGGAGCACAGGTGAAAGGTCAGGGCTGAGTCTGTGGATCATCTTCATCTTCATCATCATCATCATCAACCAGAGAAAATATAGAAAAGTCACCCCCTCCCGCCCCCCCTCCCGGAGACTCAGAGTTGGACCTGGTTGGTCAGTGAACTCACTCAAAGTTTTGTCTTTGGCGGGACTCGGTGTCTGCATCACTGCTCCTCTTTTAAAGGGACACGGACCCAGTTCTCCGGGAGGAGCAGGAGGAGCAGGAGGAGCAGGAGGAGCAGGAGGAGCAGGGAGTCAGTCCGTGAGAGGTCCAGACTGACCCCGGACGACGTCAGAGCTGCGGTGACGTGTCAGTGAAATAACATCAGGTTTTCAGACGTGGTCGGAGGTTCGATTCCTCTGTGACCTTGGCCCAGACCCTGGTGTTTGTCCATCTACGGATCGACTGAAGGGTCAAACCTCACCTTCATTTTACTGCACTCAAATATATATGTTTTTTTTTTTCATTGGGAATTCCCTGCCATGCCCTCAGAACACCCCCCCCCCCCCCGGCGCCCCCCCCCCCCCCCCCCCCCCCC